GCGCTTGACATATCCGAGGCTTGACATACCCATTGTGGCGGCTCCTCCTGAAAGGTCGAGACTGGTGGCTACCCTCTTCAATGAGCTGCAACTGCAACTCAGCACGATCGCGGGCTCGCTGGGCCTCATGAACCTGGGTCTGGAGAGTAGAGAGCTGGGAGCAGAGCGACTCAATGGTAAGGTTGGTGTCTCGAAGTTGCTGGGAAAGGGTGAACATCTGCGAGGCTTGGAAGGAACGCTGGGCACGTTCCTCATCACGAGCTTGTTGGACACTCGGATCAAAGGCATTGGCAAGCTTTCCGATGAGGTCGACATTGTTTGACCGAGAGCGGCGCTGGACAGCGGGGTCAGGTCGGCGGATGATAGCATTCTGGATATCACAGTTGCCAGCGGATGCCGCCTTTCTCAATTTCTTTGGCACCTCTGGGATGTCGTCGGCATCGTCGTCGTCATCTTCAGATCCACCAGTCAACTGAGCAGCATCATCGAAGTCGGAGTCGTTGAGATCGCGGGTGGCAGCCCTCTCGTTGATACGCCCGTCAATCTTGTGTGCTCGTTTGACGTCCGGGGGACAATAGGCATCACCAGTGGGCTTCGTGGTCTTAACAAGCTAAGATGTGTTGTAAGTAACGATGTTTCTTACATATAACCAAAAATGGCTGACCTGTTTGAACTTGGTCTCCAGAGACTTTAACGTGTGTTCAGCAGCATCATTACGATGAGCCCAGCGAGTGAAACCACGGTGGATGGACTGCCACCCGCGTTGGCCAAGAGGGAGCTCCTCCTCGACAAAGTCAAGGAGGGCATCAACCTCGTCTGCAGTGTAGTTGCCAGCACCCTTGGGACAGCCACGCTTGGCTACTACCTCAACTTCTTCATCATCCGAGGCATGCCTGCGCTTGCGAGCGGTGGCCTTCTCCTTTCCCTTATCGCGAGACTCGGTTAGTACAGCGCGCTGTTTGCCCTTGCCCTTCTGACGTGATCCAGCGACCTTCTTCGCAGCGGCATGGCCCCGGGACTTCACAATTGTGACCGGGTCAGAGAGGTCGTCGTCCGAGACCTCAGGAAGAGGTAAAAGCGCATAGAAGGGCCAGCTTGGCTG